CCTATCATTCCAATCACAGAAACTAATTCGGAATCATTCCATCTTCTTTCCATAGCTTCTTCCACTTGGGTCTCTCGCGGATCCCGGAAATCTCACCGAACACCTGTGGGTGCTAGGGGCGGTCAGTAGAGGCTAAATGTCTGAGTTTTTGTGGGATAGTTGTTAACTGCTTTGTTTCTGTTGATGTATGTTGTTGCTTTTTTGGCCTTGGTGATTTTGCTTGATGGTGTTCACGGGTGTCCGGCATTTTCGCATGTGTCATGTTCTGTGTTGTTGGATCACTTTTGTATCGACCTGTCAGCATGTCAGCATGCGTTGCTTCAATCCTATTGGAAGAGTCCTAGACGTTCGCTTGGCAAGTTGTTAGGTTTGTCGGAGATTTGTTGAATCCTAATCCGAATGGTCCTGATGTGTGGTAATGTGCTTTTGGAGGATCTGTTGAAACGCTTCCTATGTTTTCACAAGGAAGGTTTCCTCAGTTGTCCTATTTAATGTGCCCCATGTTCCTAATCCTTCCTGCTTTTCCTAATGTTGGTCTATTCCCTACCTTAAGCCAACGACTAACTTGAGATGAACTCCACAGCAAACTACGTCGGCCAGCCTTCTTCGAAGGTATTCCCGCGGCCCGAGGTTTCGCAGCGGACGGTCCCACGGATGAGGAGCCCACCCTGGGAGCAGATTGGCATCTTAAACCTCCAGCCCTTAAGCCCCTACACGTCTACACCCATTAGCCTAAACCCTGATCTCGGTATGAGTTTCAAGGGTGGGAGCCACGGCGTGCATGTGCGCAGGGACTTTGACTTGAGATTCCAGCCTCGGCTCTTTGTCTGATAGACATAAAGACAGCGTAGCACTCCCATGAGCTCCCCCCAAAATCTGCAGGTTCAAGCCTACGACGATACTATGTTATACTATACCATGTGATACTACACTACACTATCCTATCCTGTCCTACACTATACTTTATTTCATTGTGCTGTACTATTTTGCATAGTATATTATGTAGTATACTCTACTATATTATACCACCGAAGCTCCTCTTCGAGAGCCCCGGAAGCGTACAGGCGATTGCTCCGAAAATGCGCCAGTCTCGAAATGGCAGTCAGCCTGTTTGGAACGGATACCGTACTGACTCCTCTGCCGGCCGGACCTACCTGTCACCGGAACTATATATGACTTTATGGCACGGAGAAGCTTGAACGGCACCTCGCTCCGGAAAGATGCAGAAAGTCTATGGAAAGGATGCCGGAAAACTTTCAGGCCATCTGCCAGCACCCGGCCTGCTCCACTGTACCAATGTAGCTGTTCCGGGTGCCCTGCTCCTCCTGGCTCTTTGCGTGGTCATGGGCAATGGGGGGGGCTATGGCCCATGGTTTGCAAGGCTTCGGGACTTGGGTGAATGATCACAGTTCTGCCAACATGAGCGCAAGGGAAGCAAACGAGCAAACAGAAAAATACACAGATGCCACACCCGTGCACAGACAGACACGCACACACACACACACAGAGAGACAGAGACAGAGATAGATAGCCAAACAGGAAGGGAGAGAGGCACCAACGAACCAACCAACCAAGCATAACCAACCAGTCACTCACCAATACACCGAAACCCCTTCTAGAAAGAGGGATGATGGAACCCACGCCAGAAGAACTGCTCGGTCCCAGCCTCGATGATGGTAACCTGGTCCCCAGCTACCTGAACCATGAGGGTTTAGGGTTTCGGGTTTAGGGAGTTTAGGGTTTAGGGTTTAGGGTTTCGGGTTTAGGGAGTTTAGGGTTTTGGGTAAAGCAGACGTGTCTTCGGATTTGGGGGAACAGCTTCGGTTTGAAACTCTCACAGATACATTCGGCAGCATGAATCAAGCGAACTCGTCCCGCAAACGCCACACGCACTTTTCGTGTATTCCGAGACTTATCGCTAGAGTTTGGCTCCGACGCTGACAAAAACCAGGTGCAAAGCCTACACTACCGATTGATGACTCGGCGGCTGCCTGGCAGATTCCAAAATCTGAAGTATAGCCTCGAGACTTGAGACCTTGCTCATCTTGTGAGCACTTGCGACAAAAGCAAGGACATCCAACAACAGAATAAGACTGAACCCGACATGAAGATGGAGGTGAGGTTAACGGCAAGCCTGAAGCAGGAATTGAGAAACAGAGAATAAATTGTCAACGAGAAAGAGCGAGAGAGAGAGAGAGAGACTCGATAAAAAGAGTCTGACATTCTTTGCGAATGAGATGCAGGAAGGGCGCGAGAGACCGAAGAGAGAGCCCGAGAGGTGTGGGTCTGTATTTACTCTTGCAAGTACGTGTATAGACTACATGGATGTATGTAGGGGTATGCAAAGGCATATGTGCTTTGGGTTTGTGCATGATGATAGCAGCTGGGGGGCAGAGTCTCAGACTGACGGATGGGGAGAGGGCTACATAAAACTGTTGAGACTGATTTGTATATCATGCGGCTGACATGCTACAGCCGGGGGATCCCCACTATGGGGACCGGTTGATGTGGGACCCTAAACCCTAAACCCTAAAATCTACATCCTGAACCCTACACCCTAAACCCTAAGCCGTACACCCTAAACCCTAAACGCCCTAAACCCTGTAAAGCCCTAACCTTTTTAAACCCTAAGCCGGAAAAAGCCCTAAACCCTTCAAGCCCTAAACCCCCTAAACCCCTATCGCCTTAGCTAAAACGTTTGCGTGTTGCCTGGCCGCTGCACTTGGCCGCGGTCTCTTGCCCTGCAGACGTCGGTTGGAGGTTTGGGTTCCACTTCATAAGCAAGATGAACCAAAAATTAAACAAACCAGAAATAAATAAAATAATAAACAAACAATATATATATATATATGATATATAGAACTATGCATACATAACTTACATAACTACTGTTATATAGGTTGGATACTGTGGATAAAGTATTATTAACATGACAAGCGCAGAGGCTTGGAAGTACTTGAGCCCTCCTTGCTCATGGCATTTGTACCCCAACACACTCTCCTAACTTTAACTCGCCCACCCCTCCAAACGAAACTGAAAAGCCCTACTCCGGAAAGTCCGAGGGCGTGAAGTTTTCATGTCTGCCCCCCCGCTGCCTATGAAGAGGATCGTAGGAGTATAGTATAAAGAATGTTTCGAAAAGGGTAGGCGCGAGCCACTGGGTCTGCAAGCGATCCATCCCGGGGGGCTTAAACATCTTCGTCTTGAGAGATGGAGAAGCCGGACACATCCTGTCGTAGCATAACAACAGCCTGATAAATGCTCGACCTAGACCTAGCCATTCGATAGGCTTTTGTTGGAGTGTAATGTCAGGCCCTACCAGGACCTACGCTAGACCCAAACCTCATCTGAGCCCCGTAGCCGCCGTAGCCCGAACACCCCAAAACTCAAACCCTAACATAGGGGCCTTCATAATTAGAATAGGGTTTTGGGGTATATTGTACTACAGCTACAATAAGGAACCCCAAAATAGTGTTGGTAATTATTTCGGCCCCGATATTGCACCCAGGCAGAAGTCCTGATGTTTGACACTGCTGAATGCCCGACCGAACCCTAAACCCCAAACCGGCACCAAAGCATAAACCCTAAGAAACTACAAACCCTAACCCTAAACCCAAGGCCTAAACCCCAAAACTCCAACCGGCCATCTTCGCAAGCCTTCAAAAAGGAAGTGCACGTCGAGCTTCGACCGGGGCAGTGTGGCCTGGGTTCCAGCTTGAAGATCTTTCAATGGCTCTGCTATGTAGGCTTCAAGGTCTTTTGGTATCGTGTAGGGGTTGAGGGGTTTAGAATTTCGGCGTTTAGAGGTTTAGGATTTCGTGTTTGGGTTTCGGGGTTTGGAGTTACGGAGATACAACATGGGTAGTGGTGGCGAGTACAAGCAACGGTATCTTCAGTGAACGAACATCTGCTGCAACACGGTACTGGATACATATTGGTCCTGACACTGCAGCAATATATGTGGGCCCCGCAGTCGACAATTGCAACAGGGACTGAGTCAAAACATGGACTTGCGTTTTCCAGCATAGGCTGCGATCTTCGCAAATCTTATAGCCAACTAATGACGTACATAAGTGTATCAAGGTCTGACATCGCCTGAATCCACTACAAAGGATAATTTGATGCCTGAGAGCCACGCCTCTGCTATATACCCTGTGCTGCATGACACCTCCCCAGAAAAGATTAAAAGACTTCGAACCTGCTAAACACCACTCTCCAAAGCCTAATGAACACACGGCGCTGTACTGCGCGTGCGGGTGTGAAGCATGCGCGCCCTTTGACAGTTGTTGAAGATGGCGGCACTTTGCAGAGGAATCCATACCCGTGCTGGAGCATGCGGCCACATCGATTTGTCAAGAGCACTGGTGACACTGCTGTGGCAACAGTAGCAAGAAGAAAATAACAAGGGAGCAGTGAAAAGAGCAACTACTGAGAAATACTAGCCACTGCTTGCTCAGACAACAAGTTACAATGCTGCTCACGTCCTTGCCATGAGGAAAATATTTTTTTACGCATACATAGTACGTAGTGAAACTGCTAATCCCAACAAAGAGTGACGTCACTACTCGTCGTCATGCTCATTATCACCATCAACATTGCCGCCATGATCATCACTGTCATCATCATAGGTGGCCATACCCAACACAAGCACGGCACGAAGAGTCTAAAGCTACGACTAGGCGAGTTGAGAGAGTATCACAAGCACCGCATACTACTCATGCTGAAAAGACCTTCCAAGCGGCCACCTGTGTCTCCTAAACATGGATAATCACTGAAATCCTGCCGAAGCCGTCATCCAGAAGCCAAGACATCTCTGCCACCACATCTCTTTTTTTCACGGGCATCTCCCGATCCCGCTCTCTGACAACATTCTGTGGTAAGCGGGTAATGTAGGGGCCTTAATATTTAGAAAAGGGTTTTGGGGGTTCCCTATTATAAATATAGTATAATGGACCCCCAAACCCTATTCTAATTATTATAAGGCCCCTATGTTATACGCCTCAGCTTAGCAGCGAGGCAGGCCGCTCTCGTCTGTACATGGAAGATTGCAGAGGCTCTTGACTTTGGCCGAACACCCTCCAATAGCAGCACAACGCAATTGCCATCGCCGCCAAGAATATCAACACGACGCCTGCTCCCAGAAGCTCAGAGTGATCATTTGCAGATTGGATCCACCGGAAGAACCAGCTTTGCAGGTTTGCCCTTTCAGCCAAAAAACCCAGCATCTCTATCAGCCCAACGAGAATCGCTACCAAGCCTGAGGTCACGGTGACGAACAAATTGAAGTAGATCTTTTTCTTGTCATCCTCACAGCTACGTGTGCGGGCAGCGACTGTCGAGGACTGCAAGCTCTCACAGCGCTCTCCACCAAGCAGACAAGTCCTCCGCGGAGGTGCGATAGATCCATGCCATCATCACGCCATTCAGGGTGTCAAGAAGACACATTCCGGACATGAACAGCAAGGGCAGAAGCAATATACAGATGGGCGCAGCGAGGCCATGCGATACGGCTACGACACCCAATAGCCCCACCTCTGTGGCAGTGTCAAACCCTAGCCCGAATAAGAACCCGACAATCAACATATGCCACGGCTTCGAAATTGCCTGGAACAGTCGTGGACAACATCTCAACCACAAACCCATAGTCGCGTGATGGCTGTGGTCGCCACCATGACCCTTCCATTCCATCCACAGTTGCCGAGCCGTGCACAAGTTGAGAATGCCGAGTGCGAGTAAGAAGCTTGCAGAGATTGCAAGTCCGAAAACACTGCCATATGCATGGAAAGTGCTGAGCATGTTCTTCATGAAACTCTTCGTCAACAGGATGCCGCAGCACGCAAGGAAAACCACAAGAGAATGCCCAAGAGCAAAGAACCTCGTTCGCGGCAAAGGTGCGAAGATTAAGCCCTACGGCCTACGGACTGTGGGAACTCATTCTTCCAGATGCTGATCCCACACCCCAGGACAGCGGAAACTCACCGGATGAGCCAAAGAGCATTCCCACTGTGTGCGGGCTGCTGTTCCTGACCGTCAGCTTGCGAGTGATATTGTCTATTGCAGCCTTGGAAGACACGAGGATCTCTGGCTGAAATCCGCTGGAAGCGTGTTCCGGATCTAGGAAAGGAGCACCAAGAATTACGGCTGGATCCCCAAACCCCCCCAGCTCAGGACATCTCGATTCATCCGCGTCGTGACAGCAACCAGAAGCCCAAACGTCGCAGCGACAGAAGAACTCGAAGCCTCTACTTACAGTTCATCAGAAAATGATGCTCAGCAAAGCGGCGATGTGATCCACATCGAACGCATGTCGAAGCCCAAACGAATATGCGAGCAGGCCTGAAGCCATTAATGCCGGTACCAACGTCAAAGCTCCAAATAGCCCGACGGTAATCACCAGGATCACAACCTGGCTGGGTCTGGCGTGGCTGGCTCTGCCGCAGGCTCAGCTTCAAGTGGGCAACTTCAATCAAGGACGAGGTGCGAGGATCAAAGCTGAGCTTCGTCGTCGTCGACGCTCCAGCCTTCAAATCTTCATGCAAACAAAAACATCGCGGCGCTTAGCATCCCTAAAGAGCATCTCCAACCGCGAAACCCAGAAGAGCTGGAAGAGTCGTGCGACTCGACGTCGCCCACAGGCTCCATGGCTCAAAAGGAAGTCGCAAGGACGAACGAGGGCTTCAAGGCATTATGCAGGAAGGCAGGTATGACGAGGTCTGAGTCTGAGCATGGCTGTTAGGAAGAGGACTCTGCAAGCCGACATGCTCTCGTGTTGGCTTTTCCGCCGCACATTGCTTGGATGTGCACCTTCAAGTGGAACAGACAGACAGACAGACAGCCAGACAGCCAGACAGCCAGACAGAGAGATGCAGACAGTGTTTCAACATACATATTTAGACCTTGTACACCTGCGTACATCCTTGCATCTAGTTAATCATATACAGATGCCACAGCGTTTGATGAACAACTCTGTTTCACATCAATCACAAAAAAAGTGTTGGCATACACAAACAGTCATGGCCAAGAGGCAGAGAGTATGATAACGAAGTCCCCATCATCAGTGCCCATGTCGTCACAGTAGCGCCAACGCCCAGCAAGATCCTGCAAGAGGTTTCCACACCTTTGGTGCTGAACCTCTATGAACCCAAAACCCTGGCTAAACCTACATTCCAATGCTCTCTCCCACTCTCTCTATAAATAAATATGTATATATATATATATATGTATGTATTTATTTATTTGTTTATATATATATATCTATTTTTTGCACACTCTAAACCTTGGTACCTGTTCAGGCTCAACCCTCCGTGACAAGGAATATCCAACCGAAGACCTGGTTTTGTTTTAGAGTCTCTAATGGAGGGGCCTCAGTTAGAATAAGTAGAATCAAGGTTCGACTATCTCTCAACGTTCTCTCATGTGCCCGGACCTTTGAAGAAGAGCTCCGAACCCCGCCAGCTCTAAATGCCTGGTTGTCCCAGTTCTCTGTTGCCGGTTGTATCGGCAATGCAGCGCTGGCCTCAGTTGCAAGAGCAACACAGGGCAAGCAATTCATGTCGAGTCAGGCCCAGTTAGCCAAGAAACCCTCAGCAACTGCTGAAGACATCGGAATGATCAGGGAAACCAAACATTTTGTCGCCAAAATCTGGGGACTCAAGCTAAACGCCAAAAGGCGCATTCCCCGGTTCAGCCTTTTTACTTTATTACTTGGGTCATATGTTTGAGGGTAATTTGCTGGGTGTCCTACAGAACGTTCCCTCGGCCGTACATTCGCGGCTCCTTAGGGCTCTTAAAAAAGTCATAAGGGGCTGCTGTAAGGGTTCCTTTACAGGGCCGTGACATTAGAGGGGGGGCGTGTTGTTTAGCATCACTCGGAATCCTCTCGAGCGCCCCATACCCCATCGGTCACCATCACGTTCCAACATCGAAGCAAACTGCAAATTGCAATGCCGCCTCTAGTCTAAACTCAAGGGCACCCAGCCGTGAAAGCGGGCGAGTGGCCTGCTCGGAAAGACCTAGCACGTGCCCCTTGCAAATAAGGCGGGGGTGGGGAGCAATGAGCCCGCAAGCACCGCGGACAAGTCTCGTTTGGGCTTCAGCAATCAACGGCACTAGCCAGAACGCAAGAGGCACGCAACTCTCGGAACCTATTTCCTAGCAGCTACTACAGGGGCCCAACAAGATTATTCCTCGAGGTTCCTTCCTGTTCCTTCTATAATATACCCCAAACCCATATTAATGCTCCCTATACCACAGGCCACAAACCTGTTATAGTACCCCTTGCAACAACACCTAAAGGAACCCTATTCTACTTTTTAATGCACCTTTGGTAGATGCTAAGCCGTCTAGTCAGGGGCTCAGGCTTCGCTGAAACCCAACGTCATGTTAAAACCCTCCACTAGCTTTTCACCTCGGTGCTGATACAGTATACTATGGCACAATCAGATCTAGCATAGCAAAGTGTAGCATAGTCTAGAAGAATAATACCCTTGTGCTCGAAGCCCTATAGTCCCTAGTCTAATACCCAAATAAGCTCAAAAAGATCCCTGCCGGAGGCTTAAACACAAAATAAAGCTTAACACGTAATCCGCAAAGCAGCAAGCCCTACGTTCTGAACCCGCTGGCGGTTTGAGAGGGGGCAGGGGGGGTATGTTCTAGTATTGCAGGGGCTGTAAGGGAATTATATATATATATGCATCCATATATCTATATATCTATATATCTATACATCTCTCTCTATACCTATATATCTATATATATATATATATACACACACAAATAGATTCAACCCAAGATGCGGCTGCAGCCGAAGCTTTCAGCGCTGAGTGCTCCCGCAGCTCTGCAGGAGCGAAGCGCAACGCCGCCGGGTTGGTGGACACGACCTGTTTAGGGTTTAAGGTTTAGGGTTTAGGGCACCGTGGATTCGCCGAGTTTTTTGGGGTCGGCAGGGTGTAGGGTTGAGGCTGAAGGGCTTAGGGTTTAGGGCTTATAGGGTTTAGATGGGTTTAGGTTGTATAGGGTTAGGGTTTAGATGGGTTGAGGTTTTATAGGGCTTCAGGCCTCACTGAGTGGTGGCCATATCATGGAGACCTTGTTTTCCGATTCTGCGTTGTGTTGGTGTTACAGCGCGGGCCTGTCGCATCTAGTAGGGACACAACTCCTGAACTGCTGCACCACGATCAGTTTCATAAGCCGTCCTTTTTGTTCATGGCGAGAGAGTGTTTAGATGGGTTTAGGGTTCAGGGTTTAGGAGTTTAGCGGTTCAGGTTGGTTCAAGGGTGGTTAAGGGCTCAGGGTGTTCAGGGTTGGGGCAGGGTCTGGGGTGTAAGGATCGCATACGGCCCGATCTGGGGAAAATCTGTTGGCTCCAATGAGGTTTCGTAGCATTTAGTGACTTTAGTGTGTTTCCTGACGATCTTGTAGGGACCCGATATTTCCGACGGCGTCGGAGTGGGGTCAAAGAGGAAAACCTGTGTCTCAATACATTCGTACAGCGAAAGCAAGACATAAACCACAACATGTGACAAAATACATACACATACATACATACATACATACATACATACATACATACATACATATATATGTATATACATACATACATACATACATACATACATACATACATACATACAGAGATAGACGGGGGGTTCAGAAAGAGACTGGCCTTTTCCGGAAGGCGGCCTGGAACCGAAAGCGCAGGAGCAAAAGCA